TGCTTTCTTGTACATAGTATGCATCATCAATAAGGTGTATATTGAATGTGATCTTTCAATATCACATTAGGACATGTTTTTCACTTTTAGTGTTTCAGAATGCCCCACTGTTTTTATTGATTGAAATACTGCAACAGGTGCTGTATATGGATGGCAAACTTGCAGTTTGTTCACATATCTTTGTTATTCCCCTTTTGAGAGGTGATCTAAATATCTGTTGCTTGAAACAGATAAAATATTGACAGGCCTGCATTGCAGTTATATGCATTTTTGCCCTCCAGGTCTCTGTGCCAGTCATATGACTGAAAACTATGAATTTGTATGCTAACTGCTAGTTTTTGTACTAACATATACAGTACTAGAGTAATAGAGACCAGTTAATTCACAAGCATTTTCTTGCTAATTCTCACTAGACTATATGAACACTCTTACTGGCTACCTATAATTAGAAGCAAAAGTTCCACTCTTCACCACAATGGTAATCCATAACAGTAAGTCTTCTAAAACCCAACACAAATTAAGCACTATTAGGTCTCCCCCATTCCCTTCTTACAAAAATAAATAAAATTAGATTTAATATCAACATTTTCACACCCCATCACGTCACAACCAAAGCATGCTTGGTTGCATGCAAAGAATTGCAAATGGCAAGCAATAAAATGATTTATGCCTCAACAAAAATGGATTAAGTAAACGTACATTATACACATTTAAGTGGATTGAACATAATGAACTTAAGTTGTGACAAAATGATCAAGAATTATTGCATTAGCTCATTTTAATTAATTAAAATAAGTAGCAAAAATATTTTTTGTGCACTCATGATTTCAGCAGAAATGCAAAAAGCAGAACTGAAGACATGGAGCATAATTTTTACTCAGAAGCTGAGGAACTTCCTCGGTCAAGTATGGTTTTCCAAAAAAATAATATTCGTTCCGTCAAACTAAGTCATTGTCTGGCTTCTTTCATGCCATGTGCTGAGAGCCTGTGTTGTGCCCTTTTGTGGTGCAACTGTGCAAGAAGTCTTCTTGGTGTTTGTGTGAATGATTAAGACACACTGTGTCAGCATGAAACAATCGCAGTAGCAGTTACGCATTGGTCAAGGGAGTGAAAAAGAGATGAAGTGTGAAAGAGAGAGCGAGAGACACAGAAAAGAATGAGAATGCAGACAGAGTGAATGGGGCAGGAAGGCGAACAGGACATCATTAGTGACCAGTGCAAGGCTTTAATGAGCAGGATCACTGTAGCCTTCTATCTGCACCGCTGCCTGAAGGCTGGAGAAAGTGTTTGGTTGCCCACTGTGTCGCTCTGACAAGGTCTGAGGTACCACCAGACATCCCCTCGGCTGGGCACTCTCTGTAGGCACAAAACACACTCGCATAGCTACCTTTATGTCTGAGAAGACACATGCAGACTAGCAAAAGTGCATTTACGCATTGATCACATAATGATTGTTTTGCCTTAAGGCATGGAAGCCGTGTGGCCTACAGCCTCAGACCTCTGTGTTGAGCTGAGTGTGTGTTCCAGCCTGCAACATCATGTCCATGTTTGAATGCATTTCTGGTATGTCTGTTATCTATATGGATCATTTATATGAATGAATGTAGATGCTTTTATCTAAAAAGTTACATTCAGAAATACATTTTATTGATGAATGAATGAATGAATAAATGAATGAATGAGATTTCAGATTCATCCATTGAAATCGGACTGTCTGCAGGCATTAACATATTTTGCATATAAACACGAGAATTACTTATTAATTTACTTACCTTTTGCATATTCTTCTGTTGTACATTCCTGTTCATTTGTACATTTATTGTGTTTAAGTCTATTGTATACGGTCCATTACTATGGAGCGGAGCTGATTTACATTTCACTGCTGGTTATTTATTCTCTATATAACTGTGTATGTGACAAATCTTCAAATCTTCAAAAATCTTCAATCTTAAATTAACAAGAAAACATTGATTTATTTATTGATTGACTGATTAGTGGGGCGTGCTAGTTAGAAATATTATCTACATACAATTAAATTATCTGAAAATCCCAAAAAATGTCTTTTAATTTGTGTGACAGAGTTATGTAATATGACAGAAAACATGAGCAAAATAATAAAACCTAAAATGATAATAAAACCCCCTAAAACTATAAATTCATCAGACATGTGACTAAATAGGGAAATAATTTAATTTTATATTTAATAATTTTATTTTCTTAAATACCTGACAATGCTGGAAAGAAAAAGTGTAGAGACCGCTGTTAAACCTTCTAAAAACAATTTTCCTTTTTTATTTTTTAAAAAATATATACCTCTTCCTGTCAGGACATAGTAGATTTCTTTGAAATAGCTTCTACATAGTGAGATATTCTTTCAACATGAATATGTAAGATAATAAGACATTAATATGTTTTTTTATATTTTAGGTATATAAAAAAACTTTAATAATCTATAAGTATTAAGTTACGGTCTGACGACAAGAGGATTTAATTAGTGACCATGTAATGCCATCATGTAAAATAAAATAAAACTAAAATAAGAAAATAAAGGTCAATCTAATGAAATGTATGTTTATGCAAAAAATATTTTAGTGAAGAAGTTCATTTTTTATTTTATTTTTTTTACTTTCTATTTATCAAAGAATCCTACAAAAAAATGTATCACTATTTCCACAAAATATTAAGCAGCACATTTTTTTTCAATATGGATAATGATAAGAAATGTTCTTCTTTCAAAAACATTTGAACAGTAGTGCAGATATTTCTGGAAATATCTACCTGCTGCATATACCGCTGTACAAAAAGTTCAATTTCATCACTAGCAAAAGAGCAGCAAGTACAGTCCATCTTAAAGGTCAGATTTTGAAAAACAAATGAGTTACAGTATGTGCAGTGTGAAAAAAAAGAAGATTTTTTGTCTTTTCTAGTAATGGGCCATCATTGACGGCAGGCGTTTCTGATTATTCCGTCACGCTTGCCTATGTGGCTGCATGCGTGTTGTTGCCTGGAGCAATGCTGGGATGTAGCTACCCAGAAGGCTCATACTCGTATATATCGCCTATATGTGCTGCAGAATTGTGGTGGAGAGTGAAGGCTGACACATTATATTTAAGTATGTATTTATAGATACACAGAGACTGCAATACTGCTGAATTTGAATAGTCGTGACAGAGACGGCACGATTGAGGGACGGTGCATGCAAGTATGAGGGAGCAGAGAGAAGGATTTTAAATAGATAGATATAGAAACAGCTCAGAAATAGATATGAGAGGACAGAGCAAGTGCAAATGCAGTCAAGAATATGAAGAAAAAGAGAGAGATGCGCTGAAAGAAAGAGCTGTAAAATGCTGAGAATGTCTCTGGTAGAGTCGCTGGTGAGCACAGAGGGATTGAGGTGGAGTGATGTGCTGTCATATCTCTCCGTCTGTTCATCTCTCACTCTCTCCCACCAGGTACCCTGAATCTTTACCGTCAGCAAGAGAACAAAGTGTGTGTGTGTGTGTGGTGACGTTTTCACTGCTGCCTTGTATATGTGTGTGTAAGACATAGTGCAGTCAATATCAATCTAGATTAACGTGCCGGTGAAACCAGCCACAGAACACACCAGACATCCATTTTATTGGCTGTACTTCTCATTTAAATCCTCTTGAAGAACTACATCCTGTTTGTCATCCACTCTCCTCATCTATTATGATTAACATGAAATCGAACCAATTAAATAAAGAGCCTTTCACGCACAATCACCTAACGAACAGCCATAATAAGCATCCGATTCAAATCGTTCTTGGGTTCAATAAAACACAAAGAATGGCATTGTTATATTAATATGTTTATTAGAATATTAACATATTCATGAATATTAATGAGTAGGCACACTATATTGAGAAAAGAAACGGGACTGCGAGTTTGGTCTGCATGCCTTCCGATTTCAAAACATCAGAAACTAATAACCACAATAGTAAAACCATGCCCGCATAGTGTCAAAAATTGTTTTTCATAGTGTACTATGGGCTTAAATAATGTAATGGACATTATTTAGATGAATGTGTACAGCTTTAAGCATTTATATCGGTGTGCTGGTGGTGCATGTGTGTGCATGAATACATCAATATATCAACAATATAGTGGATGCAAAAAAATAACCTCAGTATATCCATGAGTACTTTGTGCAGTTGAGGCTAACGTTCACTTGATTTGTGTGCAGGTGTGGTGTCCAGCTCTCCAATCTAGTTCAGAGCTGATAAAAGAACCAACGCGAACAACATCAGTACATGTGTGGGCATTTATAATCCACTAAAATTCAGCTCCACAGTCAAAGGTACAACTTTTTAGAGTAAGGACGCCAATCTAACACACTTTTACATTATGTCAGATAGAACTACACTGGCAGAGAGATGTGTATCTAACAAAAGCCATATTCTATTCCTCAAAGAAGTGTTGGAGTCTATGTGGATCAAAAGGCAAATCTCACAAATAAAAGAGCGGAGGGTGAATGTTTGGTAACACTTTAAAAATAAAGTGTAACCGAATGTTTATTTGTTTATTATCCGTGCCTTAGTTATTATGAATTAGCTTTTTCAAGGTCTACCGTCTTGAAGATCAAAATGGACCATTAGTGTTTGCCTTTTTGTTTTTCTTTGTGTGCACTCTCATGAGAATGACTGAATCACTGTTATTTGATCCTGACGTGTATCAAAGAACATTATATATATTTTTTTTAATAAGTACTACTATGTATCTTTTTATGTGATTATCAAACACAATTTTAGTATATTGTACAGCTGTAGTATATGCTATAAAATTTAATCTTTAAAAAATTCAATAATTCCTATGCACTTTTCTTAGAAAATAACAAAAACACCCTAAGGCGAACTAAGAGTCTGAATCGACAGTATGCAGCTATTGAGTTTTTGCTGAACAATTTGAATTGACTTGAACTCTGCGGTTAATGTACCATGAGATGGTCTCATAAAGTTCACATCAAAAACAAACCCCTCGTGGGTGAACATCTTGCCATCTAATAATCTAATCCACATGAATAGAACACAAACTCTCGTTCAGTGTCGTTTAGAGCTGATATAGAGTTGCTTGCGTAATGTTTGTCACTTCCTACTATGGCTCTGTCCAAGACAAACCCATTTTGAGTCAAAATGTGATTTCCTTTTAAAAACATCTCTCTAAGGAACCACAAATTCTCTATATAGTGAGATCTATACTAGTTTAGCAGCTATAAAACCAATGACCATTTCAGTTTTCACCCTCTCAGCCCTTCACAAGTTCCCTCAGTCATCAAAAGCCTCTGGCGTTGAGCCCTCTCTAAGCTATAAAAAACACCAAGGCCCCACAAAGGCATGAAATGGTAGCTAGTTTTTAATTGGAACATGCTTTTCCCCAGATTCCCACTATTGACTCCATCCTGTGAGCCAGACAAGAGCCAATATGAGATCTAATCGACAAGGTCTAATCGATAGCACTCAATTTTTGGATCTCATTGCAATCTAAAGCATCTTGTAAGGCAAACCTTCCATCATAGGCATGGCCGGATGCTACGATCGGCAGCATGTAACCTATTACTGTAGCCCTAAAAAACAACCGGAGCCACTCTGGGTAATCAATGGCGGGTCTGCGCTGTCATGGACTTTTATCGGCGACCGTGTCGGCACCTTTGTGGAAGGTGTGCAATATTGCGGAGTCATGCTACAATTGTGGTAAGTCTCTTTGTGGTGAGAAGCCTTGTTGATGCCTGAGGCTCTTGTAAGTAATGGAGGTTTGATACAAAGGTGACAATGATCAAAGGGTACAAAGACACAGTTCATTTGCTTCAGTACTTCCATGTGCTTCCAAGTTAAAAAGGTAACAGTGAATGGCCATGTCATATTAACAGTGATGCCTTTGTGAGGATTTCTATTCAAAAAGATACAGTGAATGGAAAGTTCAAGGCTCCTAGTGACAGGCATCTTGCATCCTCTTTTCTCCAAAATAACACTCTGTCTGGTTTATACACTTTTTAATAATGCCGTTCCATGCCTAAAAGTACATTCCCTTCCTTTCCCTGTCTCTCCCAGTGGCAGGATGAGACTTCAGAGAGACATGTCATCTATTTTTCCCCTTCTTTCTCCTGCCTTCATAACCAAAAAAAAGAAAGAAGAATCGTCTCCCATTTCTGATTCTTTGCAGTTTCACAGCTCCGAGCTCAGTTGCTTCATCCTGCCTTCTAATTGAATTCCACCATGAGCCGAACTCCAAGATTGGCTCCGGATCAAGAGATGACAGTATAATGCATTTGGTCCGGCAATGAAAGAAGGATTTGGGGTGGAACACAGCTCCCTGTGGAAGGGTGAGCTTGTCTTTTTAAGAGACCTGGTCACAGTCACAGTGCAGTTCAGTTCAGCTTTTGATGGATGGCGAAGGAATTCAAGCTCGGGGACATACAAAGACATAAAGACGACTAACCAAGCAAGCCGACCAGACGGTTTACATTATACTAAGAGACGGCAGACACAAGAGAGAGGAAAAGACAAGTAATATTTAGACGTGCAAAGGGTGGAGTCCACATGTTGCTATTTCGAATGTTTACAGGTAAAGAAAGCTAGCTAGACAGCTTGTTTTCCTATCTAGATAGCTAATAAGCTGCATAGCTAGCTATAAATGTATATTTCAATAACAGATAGCTAGCTAGATAAACACGTTAGCTATACAGAGAGCTAATTAGCTAGCTAGCTAACTAAATAGATAGACAGACAAGTTAGCTATAGATGGCTAATTAGCTAGATAGCTACCCATTTAGATAGCTAGTTAGCCAGACAGCTATCTACCTAGCTACCTAGATATAGATAGATAGATAGATAGATAGATAGATAGATAGATAGATATAGATAGATAGATAGATAGATAGATCTATCTATCTGCAGGAAGTCCAGGGCATGTCATTGAACATCATGCTAGTCAGATTTGCTAACAGGCTGTGTGCTGAACACTGGCAGGAAGAAAGAGGTTAAAGTGCTACACTTCAGGATTACATACAACAAACAAGACAATTCAGCAGCAAGTCTTTTACATTGTCCAAAAGGGAACATCAGTAGTCCAGGCGATTCTTCGAATTTGGAACTGATATGCTGTAAAGAGCTACTGAAGATCAGTTGGGTCCTTTTTAGGATTGTTTTGATCAGAGGGAGGGTCTAGATCTGCTTTAGGAGAGTTTTGAGAGAAGTAGACTGAAGGAAGACCGCAGTCTGGTGTGTGCTGTGGACGTCTGAGAAGATGGACAAGGAACGGAGGATCTCCTGGAACGCTCAAGTTACGGTGAACTCTCCAGAGAGGCTGCAGAGGAAAAACACAGAAGGGAGAAAAGACATGAGAGAGGAACACAAACACAAACAATGGACAGAAAATTAATACAGAGAAATTTCAGAGGAGATTGCTGAGAATAAGCGAGTGGAGGATTGTCGTAAATAAGATATCTTTAATACGATACTTGGCCAAAAGTATGTGCCCTCTAATTAATGGGTTTGGCTAGACTTCCAAATTCCAGTGAAGACAAAACAGGGGCCCTTTCAGTCCCATGACACAGCGAGGTCCATATAGAGTTTAGAGTGGAAGAACTTGACCGGCCTGCATAAAGCCCAGAACTGAACACCACTGAACACCTTTAGTATGAATTATGACCTCCTGAATGAGAGAAAAACTCTGCAATGTTCTAACATCAAGTAGAAAACCTTAATGTCATTATGCATTAAGCAATAAAAGAGTTTTTTAAGCATTAAAAGCCCAATTAAAATAAAATGTAGAGCAAAAGAAGACTTTCCTACTGAGAAAAAGAACCCTATTCTCACTACTCTAGTGGAGCAGAAAATATCTCAACAATGTCCCACTTATTCATCAGATTTATGTATAAAAAGATGCACTCAGTTTTGTCAAGATGCTAAAACCTTCGGTCAATAGATATTTCAAGATGAACTCAAATATTTCTCATCAAACAACTACTAGAAATGAATAGTATTAATTAGTAGTATATTATATTCAATATTAAAATAAGATTATATTTTATATTAAATTAACGCCACATTACAGCTCTATATTCTCACTGTCAACAATTTGCTTCTATTTTTATTCTCCTAAAGGAGAATTTTATGTGAAACATCTGAGATGATGTTGATAATTGAAACATATCTGAAAACCCTATTAAAGTCTCATGAAAGGAAAACCTCTGAGCAATAAAACCATCCTCTGGAGAGAGATGGAAATTAAATGAGAAGTACATACTAAGGGGGAATAAAAATGAGGGGAAGAACATAAAGCACATGTGTAGAAACAAACGAATGAACTGATATGTACATAAAAAGAGTCCAGATGGAAAAGAGAATAAAAGAGACAGAGTGCAAGAAGATGGAAAAAGAGGAAGAGAAAGAAAACACAAAATGGTGAATCGAATGGTTACAGTGGTGAATCGAAAGCAGAGGCGCTATCCCAGCATTCAGTATCACAGAGAAGCTCATCTGACCTTTAGAAGAGAAAGAGGGAGAAGAGAGAAAAGACAAAGAAAAATGAAGAGCCAAAAGCAAAGTACGATATGCATCACGATTTAACTGGCATGTGACATCTGTGACATTCAGATAGTGGTATGAGTATGAATTTACCATAATAAACCTTATGTATGAATCACGGTGTGTTATAGCTTGTATTAAAGCATCCACACACACACACACACACACACACACACACACACACAGCATTTGAAATTCATTATCATGGGGTAGCCTGACAAGCTGTCAAAGCAGCGTACACAGGCTCTCCATCCCAAACAGCCGCATACGACGCTGTTGTTGAAAAAGGGGGAAGAGGGAGGTGGCTCTGGAGGTTCAGCTGAATGATAAAGCCGCCCGTTTTTTGTTTTTGTTTGTTGCAAATCAAGGTCAGGAATTTTCCTTCAATTTGCCAAGGAGTGCTGACATGCTGCACAGAGACAGGTACATATTTAGACACACAACAACACACACACACACACACACACACACAAACAAACACAATCATCTCTACATCTAGCCAAAGGGTACTGCTCTACGGCCATCAACATGATAGAAAAAACTGAATAAAATTGATGTACAGTACAGACATCTTCACTAACAAAAAAGTAACAAGTACCATAGCAATACCATGTATTTTATGGATGCTACCCTTATGAAAAAAAATATACTGTGGCATTTTTTTACAGTTCCATTGTTCCAGTTCCATGGATCTGAACATTTACCATAGTGCTTTGCTGAAATTAATGTGGAGTACCATGTAAATAAGAAAACAGAAATCATTCATGGTATCTGATACCATATACCACAATGGTCTTTTGAATATTATTGCCAAGGTTTTTCCTTCACAAAAAAAGCACTGTGGCAATACCAACACTTAAGAAAATTAACCATGGTTTTACTACAAATAAAACCAATAAACCATGGTTACTATAGTTAAACCATAGTAACCATGGTAAAAATGTGGTTATACAAATCGTAATCAATACGCCAAAAAACATGGATCCTACAGTTTTACTATAATAAAAATCATGGTTAATTTTTGTAAGGGAAGGTAATACTATGGTACTTTTAAAATTTGCTATTTACAAGATACTCAGAGGTACTTATAAAAACACCTTAAAACCACTGTGGTAAATGTCAAACAATATGGTAGTAGCATGGTATTTCTTGATACTTGTAAGTGTTGGATTAAAGTAGCCTGTAAATACACTTTTTAAAAAGTGTACACACACACACACGTTTACTTAGCTATCTAAATGGGGACATTCCATAGGCGTAATGGTTTTTATACTGAACAAACTGTATTTTCTATCATCCTACACCAACCCTACCCCTTACAGAAAACTTTCTGCAGTTTTACAAATGAGGACATCCCCAAAGGGAAGTTTTTGCAGATTTTGTCAGGTTTAGCTCACTTTTGGGTACAAATTTGTCCCCAAAATATAGTTAAGTAGGTACACACACACACACACACACACACACACACATATATATATATTTATGGACATTTGCCTTGGTAGTACCAAGGTATTCTTGAGAAGCCAGATTGGTATATAAATATGGTAACCATTCAGTACCATCACCACATAATAGTAATATTTTTGTAAGGGGTTTTAAATGCAATTTCAGATCATGCAATCTTAATTGTATCAAAAATGGTCTATTGTATTTCTTCTGCTGAAAATGATTCTGTCAACCTTGAACCTGGATGTCTGAAACTAGAACAGTATCACTATATCACAATTTCAACGGATACCGTTTAACAGAGCGATCTCAGCCAGACTGAACAAGAGCTGAGAATTACAAAAAAACACTGCAAATGAGTCATTCCCCTTTTCCGTTCTTTTGATTCATTCTCTTCTCTCTGATTAATTATCACAGGCTGAATGTGACAGCGGGAGAACTGTACCGCGGACCCGCTCCGTTCTCTGTCTCTCTGTGCAAGGCAATTCTGAAACAATGAGATCTGCTCATGCTGCTGGGCTCTCGATGAAAAACCTGCATCCCTGTAGCTTGGATTCAGTGCAGCAAGACTGCTTCTATAAAATACTTGAACCCCTAACAAAAGAACCAGATGTTTATCAATGCAACCTTTCCTTGATGTGATGTATAGCACATTAAAGGGGGAAAAAGATGACATTAGATCTTTTCTCTTTTCTATTCCACATCAGTTTTTCTCAGCATTAGTCGAAACGATAGATCGGATTCAAATACATCACAGTCGAGGAGCTATGAGAATGGTGTGGGAGAGAGTGGAGAGGAAGAGAGAGAAAAATGGAGCGTCAGGAATCCTGGAAAGCTCAGGAGAAACAGAAGCTGGAGGCTACCTATGCATTCATAATGAGTTCTTACCAGTGTTATTGAATCAGAGCACAACCCTCGCCTGCCTCAACGCCAGATTCTCCTCCTTGCCTAACATAACCCTGAGCTTTTGCAGCTCCACCAAAAATTGACAGCTCTTACCTTTGTAGTACAGCCAAGATGTGGTCTGATTGGACGACTGGAAGGGTTCTACGATGTCTCTGACATGCACAACTTCTGTTTCGGCAAATGGCCCGAGGCAATGCTCACAAACTCTGAAGTTAGATTATTGTAGTTCTATTCTTTCCCATTTGATTGGATCAGAAACTGCAGCAGTGGAGAGTGTACTGCTTAAATGTGAATGGAACATGAATCAGTGCAATTAGTTTAACATATTGATGTAACCTAAACTAACATTTGAAATGTGGGGTTGAAAAAATGTTATGTTTTTGAAGGTTCACCAATGTCGCATTTATTTGTTTAAAATACAGTGAAAACAGTAATATTGTTAAATATTACAATTTAAAATAATATTTTAAAATGTTATTTATTCCTGTGATGGCAAAGCTGAATTTTCAGCAGCCATTACTGTTTTTAGTAGAAAAATAATATGCTGATTTGATGCTCAATTATTACTGGTTCTCAATTATTAATAATGGTTCTTATAATTATCAATGTTGAAAACCATTTTTGCTGCTTATTATTTCAGTACAAATTATCAAAAATTAATAAAAGAACAGTATTTGTACACTCTAAAAAAAATGCATATTTTACCCAGTGCCGTGTTGTATTTAACCCAGCATTTTATATTAAAAAAAACCAGAAGTCTTTTGTAACATTACAAATCTTTTTACTGTCAATTTTCATCAATTTAACGCATCCTTTTTAAAATCTTACCCCCAAACTTTTAAATTGTATCACAGTTAATATAAATTATTAACTATATAAAAAATAGCACATTAAAGAAGCCCCATCAAGCTCGTGACCCATACATAAATTCCATAATAAAAGATCGTCCTACAGAGTAATTTCAGCTTGAAGCAATAATATGTATTTTAGCATGGCTGGAATGCCAATTTTTCATTCATTTTCAAATAATAACGTGATCACTTCATCCTCAAAATGTCATATGAGGTTCATTTTCAAGAGATTTGAATTTGATGAATTGATGTCCGCATGACTAGTTACACCCTAATGCAGCATCTGTTCTGTTCACACATATATATTTTTGTCCACAGGTCCCATCTGTCACACTGTACCCTGTATAGTTCTGCATGCAAGGAAAAAACATTTACAGACTACCACATTTACAGTAAGTACAACATGTTCAATGCATTCTTCCTTGTACACTGCAAAGGCGTAAATAGGTCGTCCTGTTCTGCTGCAACTTATAAGTTTTCTTCTCTCTGCCCTGATTTCCAACAACAAACAAAAGATCGCCGTATATGTACTAGGTGAAATAAATGGGTCTATTTATGTAGTCATTTGCTCTGT